TTAAAATTTAAACAAGAAAAAACATGACACGTGAAATTTTGAGCTTATAGCATTATTGGATGTGGCTATAGCTAAGCGATAAATACAAAAATAATCCATATTTTGAAAGAATAACTATATTGTAGTGTAAAACATGTATCCTTTAAAAAAAATTAGCATTTCTCAAAACAATTAACAAGGTTTTTACTTACTTTTCTTTTCTTTTGAAAAGAATATTCGACGAACACGATGCGAACTGAGCAATAACTATCGCCATCCAGTTAGCAGATCATTGAAATATTGCGATTGGTCATCTGCCCTCTGTGAATGGCCCTCTACCCCGGTTTTACCCTAATAATTATAACAAACTAGTGGAGTAATTAAAAAAAAATTGAATATCATGGTGGTTAAACATTCTGACATTCAATAAACATTTTATAAGGTAATTAATTAATAACTTTTGTAACAATAGTGAAAAATAGGGTGGTTTGCATTAATATTAGACACAACTGGTTGATGATTGTACCATCTCAGTCACCCGTGACCATGGAACCTGTAAAGGGCCCGATACGTTGGTTTGTTTGAAGAAACAACTATGCGCGATTTAGGGGTCTCCTCTCGATCTCCGTCTGACATCCGTCCAAAACAATTACTGCCAAATAAGCAATACTTGACCAAATGCAAAGACGCATGATGCGAATGAAGCTTCATACTTGACAATTATCTTTTAATTTTGTCGAATATTACTTATTTGACAGTAATTGTTTCGGACGGATGTCGGACGGAGATCGAGAGTAGACCCCCTGATCCGAGAAAATAGCTTCATTTCCTATATCTGACAATCGCGAAAACCTAATAACTCGATAATATAATAACCCTATTAAAATTAAATAAAAATATAAATTTATGAAATTATTAATAAATTTTTTTTAATTATGAAAATGACCAAAAAACTATTGGTGTTATAATAGTTATTTATTATGCCTTGGAACTTTGGCTCCAAAGTTGTTGTTTGTCGCGAGTGCTTGTTTTGAAACGAAGGAATCGCTTGCTCAGGTTTCAGGCCAAGATTGAATCACGAGGAAAGCGAGTGATTCGAAAATAGAATCCTGAGCGTAGCGAGGGTTTCAAAACAAATTTGCTGCTGAGCGAAACACAACTTTTCACCTCACTATAGCGGGGAAAATGGTAGATGAAAGAAAAACAGTTGAACTTTACAACAGCAGTTTTTTTAATTAAAAAAATTTAATTAAAAAACTTTATCCTCCGGTGCTTTCTGAATTACACTTCATAAATTTTTATTCTTGCTTGTATTTTTATTTTATTTGATTATGTGATTATTGAAATTATTTTAGTTCTTCGACGAATTAAAATAATTTAATAAACACAATTTAATATCATTGTCAATTTAATGTAAACAATTATTAGAATAAAATATACCAACGGATTTATATTATATAAATAAGTAACGTACGGCAAATCGCGTAGTTAAACGTGTCATTTTACGTCACGTCATTGTCACATCTTATCGAGTTCTTAGGTTTTCGCAATTGTTACACTTAGGAAAATAGTTTCATTTCCTGTGTCATCATCTTTTTTTTTCATCGAAGGAAAAAGTTACGTGCACCACAGTCCAACGTCAAGTTCGAATTCCAAAAACCTTTTCCACGCTAGCGTGCAAAATAGAAAGAAAGCCTTTCCGAGCTAGTGACGTGAAAAAAATGATGAATGAAAATGAAATGAATGAAAAAACTGATTTTCAGTAATTTGCAAAAACGTCGCTTGATAAGTGTATATTCATTCCGAGATTTTACAGGGCAGTATTTTCGACTCTACATAAGTAATTTGAAGTATGTGTGGTAGCCACATACGGGTAAATATGTAGGTGAGTGTTTCGATCCCTGCTGATCACAGTAAAACTACCTTCTAAAATACAGAGTAAACTAGATGGTGCCCTATATTTCCTTTCATCGCTTTCAAAAATATCTACGATTTTGTGTGCTCATGTTCCTAATTAGGGTCTTATATGACAAACGAGGTAATCAGCCGTTGGTAACATTTCGGGGTTTGAAGAATCCCGTTTTACCCGTAATTATAAGTATAGTTATTTTTTATAGTCTACGCAATTGCTCTACACAGGTTTTCTAAAATAGAATTTCTAGTAGTCAATTTAATATGGCTATTTAGCGGAATGCCGATTCCCAATCGCTTTGATTGGGAATCGGCGTTCCGTCTAGGATACAACAATGCAACTAGCATACAACTGGTGTAGTATGGAAATTATACTAGTTTGTATGGAAAGTTTTAGAATAAACGTCGCGTCGTTTCTGTCACAGATAATGTGATAAGGTTTGAAGTTTATTAAAATAAAAATTCCTAAAATGTAAGCAATCCCAGTCCATCGACAAACATTTTTTCCTTCGCAGGGGTTTGTAAAAACTTATATAGTAAATAAATAACGCACACACTCATAACCCCGCACTAGGAAACCCTGTATGGCGGATGGCATGGACACACATATAGACAACAACTAATTATACCCAAACTCACGAGATAAATAAGTGTAGGCCGTACAAATATTGCTCCCAGCCCGGGAAGCGAACCCGGGACCTCAGCGCGGTAGTCCAGCATGATAAGCAGGCAGTCATAGACTGGCCATGTAGATAAAGGGGTTTACGTACGAAAATGCTGTCCGCAAAATCTACATAAAACTTATCTTATGAACTAAGTAAAACTTTATTATCGTTTGAACATTTAAAAATTTGCCAATAAATTATCTAAAAAGTAATATATCGTATCTTTGGTACTTATAGGTTCGTGAATTCAGTTTCGTAGAATAATAGACACACTAAGTAGATCATAGTTTATTATGTCCACAAAAACAACACGTAGATTAGCACAAGCTCAGGAGGAAGATAAGAATTCAAAGCAGAAGGGAAAATGCGATTGTTACACACTGGGAAAGAAATTATTGATCCAAATCATAGGTTCCCAAACTTTTTGGATCACCGCCCACATAGACAAGTTAAAAAAAATTAAACGCCCATCACCACAAAAAATAATTGAAAACACGTATTTTTTACATTAACTTGACACACAAATCTCAAGGAAATAAATTATATACTCCCGGACATATAATTCGAGCGACTTTGAATTGTCAGTATTAAATGTTTGATTGATCAATAACTAATTCAAGTTCGAATCTGGTGTACTAAACGTCATTTTCAAAAGGTTTTGTTGAAAATTTGAATTGGCGAAACCGAAAAACTCTTCCTTCAATGATAAAAATATTTTTTTATTCTAGCACTTGAAAAATCAAAATGCGAGATGGCTCGATTTATGTGTCCGGGAGTGTATTTTTGTAGTGTAGTTTACATAGATCATAGTTTTAGTTTTTTTTCAAATGCGTTAGCACCTTCTTAAGAACATCAACGCCCCGAATAGGTTCCGAGGCCCTACCCTAGGACTCTTCAGCGCCCATTGTGGTGACCCCCAATGGGCTCTAGGGCGTAAGGACAAACTATGATCTAATTAAATCGCATATATTTGTTTTTTCAAACAAACCAACGTTTCGGGCCCTTTATTGCAATGCTCAAGGTTGAAATATCAGTCAGCCATCTCTGATGATTACGACAATGTGATTTCTTACTTTGAATGTCGTTGAATATGCATTCAATCCAAGCATCATCCTAGGGTGCTTAATATAGATACACAATCTAACATAAAAACACCCCTTTTGCTTTGATCAGGCTCATTCAATGTGCCGCCACTCGCAACGGTCACAAATAGCAAATCACTATGACCGTCCGTGTTCACGTGATCACGTGTTCACCTATTCACACTGTCTTGAATAAGGTGCTAACGTGTGGCTTGAAGCGCTGCCAGCTTTGCAATCGTCTGTACAGCGTTTAGTTAATGATTGATGTGTTTACTTACTTTGATCAATAGGCGGGTGTTGATAAAAAAATATATATATTTATCTTAAAATATTCATTCATGTTACAATACCATTTTTAACCGACTTAAAAAAAAGAGATTCTCAATTCCTTTGTATTTTTTTGTATGATGTTACGCGATTACTCCGACATTTTAACTGCCTCCGTGGCCGAACGGTTACCATGCCGGACTGCCACGCAGAGGCCCCAGGTTCGATTCCCGGGCCGGGAGAAATATTTGTATGGCCTACATTTATTTCTCTCGTGAGTTTGGGTGTAATTTGTGGTTGTCTATGTGTGTGTCCATGGCACCTGCGACACAGGGTTTCCCTAGTGCGGGGCTATGTTGAGTGTGTGCGTTATTATTATTATTATTATTATTTGTGAACCGATGATAATTTTTGTGTTGAAAATGGTTTTTTTACGATATCAAGGGACGGGGCGGTACGAACGCCTAGTGATAAGCGACACACCTGTCCAGAGCCCGTCAGTAATTTGACTCTTTCCACCTTCACCCTTTCAAACCGGAACGCAGTAACACTCACATTACTGCCTGGTGGCATAAATAGGTAAGATGGCAGTACTTCCCTGGACGCACTCTTTCACAAGGAGCTCTACTGCTACAAAAATCATATTCCGATGATAAATGGGGAAATAAAGTATATGAAATGTTCCATAGTATAACCGGTGAAATCAGAAATGTTAAAGTGAGATTATAATATAATCCAACACGTTATCAATTCATATAAAGAATATGTAACATAATATAATAATTATGTAATATAAAGAAATTTGCGCAAAAAGTAGCTTAAAATACAGGTACGTATTTACTTAGTTTAGACATTACAATAACCCATATTAAAATGTTTATAGCTTTACCACGAAGATTGCATAATTTAGGTTTCTTTCTTAATGTTTATTTTAATATTATATTAACTTTATTTACATTCGTTTAAATTGTATTATATTAGATTAAGTAATATTGAAATTAATTTATCTTCATCTTTTATCTTTATCTTTAATTTGTTAATATTTGCAATACATACACAGTCACAATTTATTTATTTTGTTTTTCTTTCTGTTCAGGTACACCTTGGCATCGTCAGAGATCAAAAGGTTGTTCATCTATGTGTTATTTGTGTGTTGCTTGCTTCACGGAGTTTAAATTTTTATGCTGTCTCAATTTACGTTGCCGCTAGTGCTTTAGGGCGCGTTACCATTATGTCGTGACGGCAGATAGTCATGCAGTTAAAGTGTCGTAGCTTGTATATTTAAATGAAGTTGTTCACATGTAGCAAAACACGATTAACTGTCGTTCACGATTTTTTTCATAACTAGAAGAGCTAGAACGACAGTCGTTTGACGATAAAAAAATGTCACAATAAAAATGTGAGGACAGATAATCGTAGCTTCAAACGATTCTGTCGTTCAAACGACAAGGCGGCTGCCGTGAACCGATAAATTGTCGTCATGATGTAGTGGGAACAGCGAGACACGATAGTCGTTCAATGATTGAATAAACGTCAACGACACAGCCACGACAGATAGTCGTGATATGGGAACAGGCTAGACGCGACAGTCATCCAACGATAAATAAAACGTTACGATATAATGAGAACGCGCCCTTACCTGTGGTGCAGGGTGTAAGGCGCACAAGGGCGCAGGGTCCAAGGAGCATTGAGCGTCGCTTGCGATGATTACGCCTCCAAAGAGCCTGCGTCTCTCGCGGCGAAGTAGACGTTCTATTGCTTCCCAACATCATTTATAATTCCACCATATGCACCCGGATTTCCTATCATTGGGGAAAATAAGATAGATAGATAGATAACTCGTTTATTTGCTGAATCTCAGTGCACTACAATTTTTTTGCATGTACGTTAAGCGTTATTCCAACATTTGTGAACCGATGATAATTTTTGTGTTGGAAAGGGGTTTTTTTATGATGTGAAGTGACGGGGCGAGACGAACGCCTAGTGATAAGCGACACGCCTGTCCAAAGCCCGTCAGTGCCCGTCAGTAATTTGACACTTTGCACCTTTACCCTTCCAAACCGGAACGCAGTAATGCTCACATTACTGCTTGGCGGCAGAAATAGGTAAGGTAGCAGTACCTCCCTGGACGAACTCTTTCACAAGGAGCTCTACTACTACTACTAAACGAGTTACGATACGGTAGCTGCCGAAATTCTGACTGCGTGAGAATTCTCCGGAAAAAGTTTTTTTTGGCTCGTAGTTTGTACGTTACGTTACGTTAACGTTAAGTTTATTATACAATGGTTAGTAAAATTCACTTCCATTCTTTACCTCGACAATGTAAATTGAGCCATTAGTGTATATTATAAAACTTATAGAACTGCTGTGTTGCAATTTAGCTACTCGCGCTTAAGTGGCCCATTCACTAACAGCATGGAACCCAACACAGGCAGGGGACTGCTCGCACACTATCTTGCGTATGGGTCAGAAACAGTTCCGTTGAATTTCTTGCAAATCAATATGCCAAATTTACGCGTGACGTCAAAAAAGAAAAGTTTTTTGGCATTGGAAAAAAAAGATTCTGAGTGTAGAATTTGTTAGCTGTTCGTAAAAGAAATTGTGATTGTTTTTTGAAAGAAATGAATGCTGATGACATCGAGCATACAACCACAAATGGAGACGAAATAAGGGCCATCCATCTTTGGCAACTCATCAGATAAATCGGCCTTATATCAATTTTAAATATCAATACTCGTTTGCGCTGAATCCCACAAATTAGAAAACTGAAATATGATGTATTTCAAAAATATTCTGTATTTATTGTGATAAAGATAATATTTCTGACAAGGGGGGCTGTTCCATGTTGGTGATTACCAAAACTATTTGAACGAATAAACTGACTTATCAATTATTGTTAAATAAGTGGAACCAAAAATAGCAAAGCAAAGCACCAAGATGCACAACAACATTTCTGCAAGGAAAAGATTTGTAGTCACTGCAAATTAGGAAGATAGTGTAGTCACATTAAAGTTTTTGGCTACAGGCAGAACTTGTTTATTTAACATTCACTCTCCTGCCTTCAAAACGGCAGTTCATTACGCAGCTACTGCTAGCGATAGCGGAGCTTGCTGGAGTCTCGCAGGACGCAAGGGTAGGACTTTATTCATCAAACACACACACATTTATATAGAAAATCATACGATATTATATACTAATAAATTATGATATGTCCTTTTGACTAGGGAAGAGAATAAAACATCCAATTTTATTTTTCGCCTTTACTTATTCAATTATCCTAGAGACTCGCCAATAACGTACCTACGTGTATGTGTCGATAAAGTTACAATAGATCAATCGCCTGTCGTAGTAAGAGGTACTAGGGTTGCCATTCTGAAATTTGTACAGCTCGAACTAAAAACCTAACATTTGAAAAAATTACAGACCTTTTTTGTAACAAAATAAAGTTGAAAACGTCTCTCTCACGTGGCAGTAGAGATGGACAACCTCCCGGACAGCAAAATTTTCGCCGTAAATCGAATTTTACAGAATTTCGAGGATGTTTTACTAGCAGACCATTAGGAGATCCTTGTGAAGGTGTCTACCACCACCTTACCTGTTTCTGCCGCCAATACTGCGTTTCGCTGTTTTGAAGGATAAGGGTACTGGTGAAATTACAGGCACGTGGGACTTATCGACTTATGTCTCAGGGTGACGAGTGCAGTGGCAGTACCTGCATTAGCCCGTAAAGCTCTGAATAGCACTGCAATTGCAGTAGACAGGCATGTTGCTTAACACCAGGCTTCCGTTACTTGGAAGGTAACGTAAAACAAAAAAGCCGACCTCAAAAATTTGTAGCATTGCATCTATTTGCCAAGTTTTATTGAAATCGGTTAACGGAAAGTTGGTAAAAGCCAATAAATCGGATTCATTCCCTAATTTGCTACCCTTAGATTGTTTACGCACTGTATCCGATTCATATTCGTTGCGAATCCGAGACTACACAAATCTAGAAAAGTCGGACCCACTTCGGATACCGCTTGAGCACTAAGTCCCATACGAATCCGTGAAAATACTAATATGGCTTGTACACCTAGAGATAAAATGATCCCTGTGATGTTTTCTGGAATTCGAAACTGGGGGTCTACTCTCGATCTCCGTCCGAAATCCGTCCGAAACAATTACTGCCAATTAAGCAATACTTGACCAAATGAAAAGACGCGTGATGCGAATGAAGCTTCATACTTGATACTTGTCTTTTAATTTTGTCGAATATTACTTATTTGACAGTAATTGTTTCGGACGGATGTCGGACGAAGATCGAGAGTAGACCCCTACATACGAATAGAATGTAGCTGAAAACGCTCATAAAGGTGGAATATATTCTTCAAATTTCCATGGGACCTCTACTGCGGTACCCCCTTTCCTACAAAAAAAGAATCATGCAACATGCACACAAAACAAATACAGTACAATAGAGAACCTCTTCTTTGCCCGCTACGTGTTTTCTCTCTCTACGAGGCATCCTCAGGTGTTCTTGAATGTTCGACGTTTCGCCAAGGGATCGCAGAGTATCAAATTAATTTACTTACATTTTTAGTAGCTGCCCTTGTTGACCCGACTCAAATTTCCACTCTGTATAATGTTGATAAGAATCACTATCATTTTTGTTAACCAAAACAAAAACATATCCAAATATTAGTCTTGAAAAAATATCACGTCACTTGAGTGACGAGGCGTCACGCTTGTCTCATCATGTCACGTCATATGTTTGGAACAAATCCGTCACGGTTACTTACACACACCGAACGCAAGGTTGCGATTTGCATACGCAACGCCATCACGTGGTTTTTTTACTACTGACAAACAGTCATAGATTTGTTGACGACAGTACCAGTAATACAAGATTGTGTTGACCTCGTAACTATACTTTCGCGTTTCATCACTACTATCATTACCAGATCTATAAATCGTACAATTGACGTAACACCATATCTGCTATTACAATAGTGTTGTAACTCTAAATACGTGAAATTCAAGATTATAAGTATAATATCATTGTATCAATAGAGCTCCTTGTGAAAGAGTTCGTCCAGGGAAGTACTGCCATCTTACCTACTTCTGCTGCCAAGCAGTTATGTCAGCATTATTGTGTTCCAGTCATTGACGTGCCATTCCGGTTTTGAAGGGCAAAAGTGCTGGTGAAATTACAGGCACATGCGCCTTGTCAACATAATTATGTCTCAGGGTGACGGGCGCAGTGGCAGTGCCCCTCAGATCTTGCGATTTAAAGCTCTGAATGGCACTGCAACTGTTATGGACAGGCACACGACAGGCACAGCTTACCATCAGGTGCACGGTATGTTCGTCACTTGATAATATTAAAGAAATGTGTTGGACATAAAATTTGAATCTCTACACGCCAATACAACCGTCGTCGTTAGAATATTGTGAGAAAACTTTTAATAAAATTGTTAAAAGATATCTACTTAATTCAAAATAAAACAAACTTTTTGTAAGCTAGTTCAAAAATACAAAATAATTTACTCAAATATATAAAATAACTTTTTCCCATTTATTTTTAAATATATTTGGCAAGTAGGAAATTGTTTAGATGACTTGAACCTACTCGTATACACAAATTTTAACAACCTTTCACGGGAAGAGAGTACCTAGTTTCCTAGGTAAATAAATAAAATACTGTTATTGTAAATATAAATGGTGTTAGTGACACAATCGTTACGTATTTAGTGTAATAAAAATTACTTATAAGTTCTAATTGTGTCTACTGTTTGTCGACCCAAATAAATTAAAAAAAAAACACACTTTTTGAGTTAACACACTATTGTATTAAAAGTCTGATCATATGTCAAAAGTGCTGTTATTTAAAGTTATAAAAAATACGAACTAAATTAAACAAATCATATAAGTATATTATGTGAAATTTTATCAGCTTTTGCATGGAAATTACGTCGGGTCTACATAGTTTAAAAGTAAAGACTTCTAATCAGTGCATTCTACTCGCTGTGACATATTCGTAGGTACGGAACCAAGATGTGGACACCATAGATATTCTATATCTATGGGGACACACACGATGTAGCTAGTCAAATCTAGTCGCTCACCGAGGCATGGAACGACCTATACTCAGAGTTTCTCTGAAGGATAAAATTCGAAATGAGATTATCCGATAGAGAACCAAGGTCATCGACATAGCTTGTAGAATAAGCAAGCTGACAAGTGACGGTACGAACAAGTCGTGCATGTGGCTGATGGTAACCGACACTCCTGTTCATAACTGTTGCAGTTCCACGCAGTGCTTCAAATCACAAAGATCTGAGAGGCACTGCCACTGGGCCCGTCACCCTAAGTACGTAAGGGCGTAAGTTGAAAAGTCCCTTTTACCTACCTATACCTATAATTCACCAGCACCCGTGCCCTTCAAAACCGGAACAGAGTAATGCTCGCATTACTGCTTGGCAGCAAAAATTGGTAAGATGACAGTACTACGCAAGCAGCTCTACTGCTGGACAAAAATATTTATTATTTCATTGAATAATTGCACTCAGTTCGTTTCTTATATTTTTGCTTACAAATAACTTCTATATTTAGCCCCTCTCGTGGTTTACTGTACTATTCAAAATTTTACTATAAGACCTTTTTAATACTCTATAAACCAGTGCCTTAGAGAACTTAGGTTACATATTTATGTGGCTGTACATCTGAATGTTTTTCATTTTCTATTTGTATTAATGAATAAAGTGTATATTTATCTCTCTATCAAGTTTTGAGACTGTCGTGAGCCGCACCTATAGAATGCGCACAACGCTCACAGATAGAATAAAGCAGTGTTTTTAGAGTAAACGCTTGCGTATTTAGGGCGGGCGTCACGCGCTGACGTTGTCGTGACGTCACGGCGCGCCCGGCCACGCCCCACTCGGAATCAATTGTGGGGGATTATTTTTAGATAGCCAATTGTTGGTTTTATTATGCAATTGACTTCGTTTGTTTTGTAATATCAAACGCACAGAACAGCCGAACGTCATAGATTTTATTGTAAGATCTATTGGTGTAATAAGGCCACAACTCCAAAATACTTTTCAGAAGAGAGGTTTGAAGATTCTACGAAGGAAATTAGTAGAATAACGTTTTTATGCTTAAATAGGAGAGTAGTTCAATTTCACACATACATAATTTGTTTCATGCGGTCCGTTTGTTATGCCCTCGGTTTCTTTCTGCCCCTCATATTGTTTGCAACCGATACAGGTTAAATTTTTATTGAATTGATATTCAATTAGTTTTTGTGAAATTACTCCACTAGTTTGTTATAATTATTAATACAAAGATCGAACACTCAGAAAAAAATTCCTTCGATCCGGCCGGATTCGAACCGACGTCTTCTAGCATACCGTGGCAGACGCTATAAGCAGTTGCTTAGTTGGTATAGCGTCTGGCACGGTATGCTAGAAGACGTCGGTAGAAGGCTAGGTGTGCATGCTCCATCGTCAACCTCATCGTCACTTTCTATCAGGTGAGATGGAGGGCAAATCAGCACTTTTTTTTTTATAAAAAAAAAAGGAAAATTTTGTGTACGCTCATCTCTGAGTAAATATTTACCTTAACAATATAATTGGTGAAAATGCACCTGAATACTGCTCTGACTTACCTTCTGATTAAAATAAATTGGTTTTAATTGGTTAATTAATTTGAAAAAAGGAGTGATATGTATGTTACGCGATTACTCCGTTTGTGACCCGATTTTGACTATTCTTTTCAACCGAAGATTATTAAAATATTCCACCTCTAAGGGTGGCAAATTAGGGGATGAATCCGGTTTCGCACACTTTCCGTTAACTGATGGCAATAAAACTTGACAAATAAATGTAATTCCAATAAAAAAGTCGATAAGCAAACTTTAGAGGTGGGTTTTTTTTTAAATAATAAAGATATAACTTTTTAAAATTAATACATACCTATTACATTTAAAGTTATTTTGAGAGATCAGTTTGAGTGTGTGCGTTATTTATTTATTTATTTATTTATTTGATAAAACTTTGAGTGAGGCTACAAGTTTGCTTTGCTACGAAATTATGCTACGCCGTCGTAGCAAAAGCTACTACCTTTTCTGTGTTTGCTTCATGTAACTTTTTTAATTAACAATTTTGAATCCTCGACGCAAAAGGAGAGGAGTTATAGTTTCTAGTTCCTTTGTCTGTGTATCTGTGTGTGTGTGTGTGTGTGTGTGTGTGTGTGTGTATGTGTGTGTGTGTGTGTGTGTATTTTGTATGGAATGATGAAATTTTTATGTTATTATATAAATATAGGAATAATTGTATAGTATTTTGCTCTTTAAGCCCATCACGCGTCCTAGAGACTCGCGGTGTCCCTAATAATTTAAGCATTGTAGCGTAGAGCCACACGTTGCCATATTTTCATTCTCCGCCATGAACTTAATTTTATCGCGGAAAATACGTGAAGTTATCGAGGTTGGTCGTTTTTCCAATTTTAATCGTGATAGTGGATCGCCGATACCGTCCAACTGCGCTCCGATTGGCCAGCCCGAATTCGAAACAATTGACGAGTGTCGTCAAATTGTTTCACTTCAAAAAGACCAGTTTAACTTGAGCTTTGCTATAATAGACGATAAATGCAAAATGAAATATTTAATCTTTACTTACCGGTGAAATGTGATTCCGTTTGTTTTGTATTAGATGTTTTGCTGTTTTTCCCACACCACCGTATGGCACAACCCCCATTGTTGGAGATATTATATATTTATTACAATAAATACATAATATTTTTGGAAAATACAGAGACGTACACACGGGTCAGTTGTAGGCGCTGTACTATTTCAGTTTTCTAATTTGTGATTTCAGCGCAAACGAGAGTTGATATTTAAAAGTAAAATAAGGCTCATTTGCCTGATGAGTTGCCAATGACGGATGACCCTTATTTCGTCTCTATTTTATTTTAATTCATTTATCCTTTCAATGACATTTTGACAAATAAAATACGGTTCTCCCAAACTTCATGAAAGTTTATCGGGAGAGTTTGGTTACTACGCTTAATATTACAGTCACATAAACACATAAACATTACATTCAGTTACCAACATTACAGTTTTTCAATATTGTATATACCTACATTGTATCGAACAAATATTTTTTTATTTAATTCTTAACAGACTTTTTACTACCTTTTATGTTTTTTAAGTGTAACGGAAGACAGTTAAACAATGTTGGAATTAAATAACCCTTAGTTTTTTTACCATAATATACGTTATTTGTTTTAAAAGTTTCTTAGAAATATTTCATTTCATATTTATGGTTATATACTCAATGGTATTACGTCAGTGGTTAATGTGGATGAGACTTTAGAACGTGACTTGATAAATGTAATCTACAAATGACTTTAATAAGAATGAAGCAAACGAGTGCAGTTGCGCGCCGTTACCCGCTGCTCCTGTGGATCCATCTACTCCTGTTTTCCGCCCTACTTGACATTGTGTTTTGATTTGATCGAGCATTACTTATTTGACAGTAATTGCTTCGGACAGGAAACGGAAACAGACCCCTAAGCCAGGGTTTCTTAACCTGTGGTCCATGGACCCCTAAGGGGTCCGTGAGTCCACCGCATGAGTCAACGAACACCGGGGGTCCACCGCGAGCTCTAACATAACAAATGCATTATATAAAAATTAGTTTACTATAATTTTGTGGTTAAATAGGTACCGTGCGCCTGATCTTTTCCAATCTGAGAGGAGAGGAGACGCGCGTCAATGCAACCCGCGAACCTTTCTTCTTCATCTTTTCGGAAAGGGTCTTTGAAATTTTGAAAACTGCCCTAAGCAATGTATGTGATATTGTCTAATATATATATATATATATATATGTATGTATTTATTAGTTACAGTTCTACGTTAAAACTAGGCATTTATATAACTCGTTTTGTCTAAAGGTCGCCATCGTACCGCGCTAAACCGTCGGAGCCGCAGAGCGAGCCGCAGCCGCACGAGCCACAACCTGCTGCAAACGCCACAAAAAAGCCGCAGCTCAAAGGCCCAAGACCCGTCGGCTCCAGCGTTTCGGGTATGTGCAACTACTTAAAACTTAGTAGCAGTAAAGCTCCTTGTGAAAGAAATCGTCCAGGATAGTACTGCCACCTTACCTATTTCTGACACCACTTAGTAATGTGAGCATTACTGTGTTCCGGTTTTGGAGGGTAAGGCGTTTATCACACTGCTCCGCGCCTCGCGACGGAGCGCGGGACGCGGAATCACGCACTCGGTGGCGGAGACCCAGATCTGCGTCAACGCGCGGTTTAATCTGCGCGGGGGCAGCGGTCTAGCGGCCCCGCGTCACTTAAAGTACTCGCTTCGCAGTTTATCGCCGTAGTGATTGTATATGTAAACGAGATCCTTCTTTGACAAGAACGGTTAATAATACAGAACTCATTCAGGACGCTGAAGTTATACTGTCTATTTGGTTTTTGTTACTCAAATAAAAAGACACCTAAGATATTAGGTACATCCCTTTTTACGAACCACATCGATAAATGGATAATTTCAACTTCATTACAAAGATTTAAGAAAATATGTAAATAAATTTGGTCGATTTTCAATAGCAAATATAAATTTATCGACGTCGAGATCTATTGTAGAAAACTGAACATGTCCTTAAGCTTAAAAATCTGCGCGGTAGTGCAGAGCGCAGTGTGCCATACCCTTCGATTCACCGCGCCCCTCCGCGCGGAGTAGTGTTGTCAGTGTATTCGACGGCGCGTGTTTTCCACACAAACTGAGGTACTTCAGCACAATGTTAAAAAACGCAGCTCCGCGCTCCGCCGCGGGGCGCGGTACAGTGTGGTAATCGCCTTAGGGTGCTGCTGAAATTACAGGCATATGGGACTTGTCAACTTATGTCTTTGGGTGACGAGTGCAGTGGCAGTTTTTCAGACTCGATGAATAACGAATTACCTAGGCACTCACTTCCCGTGAAAGATTTAAAATTTGTGTATAGGTTCAAGTCATCTAAACAATTCCTACTTGCCAAATATATTTAAAAATAAATGGGAAAAAATAATTTTATGTTTTTGAGTAAGGACTGTTTTTTTCCAGAACCAGCTCACAAAAAGTTTGTCTCATTTTGAATTAAGTAGATATTTTTTAACAATTTTATTAAACGTTTTCTCACAATATTCTAACGACGATGGTTGTATTGGCGTGTACATATTCAAATTTTACGTCCAACACATTTTTTAAATATTATCCAGTGACGGGACGAACATGTCGTGCGCCTGATGGTAAGCTGCACGCCTGTCCGTAACAGTGGCAATGCCCCTCAGATCTTTGCGATTTGAAGCTCTGAGTGGTACTACAGCTGTTATGGAAAGGCATATCGCTTACCACCAGCCGCACGACTTGTTCATCCCGTCACCTCGTATCATAAAAGCAACATAGAAAATGTAAATCAGAAGCAAACCACGTAAAAAACTTTTCACCGTCAAAATTATAAGTTACTTCCTATCGTAAAGGGAATGACGCAACACACATTAAATTTAAACACAACATTGAGCAAAACCATCTGCTACTTACCACCCATAGTTGATTTGTTATTATTTAAGACTAATCCGAAAGGGTGAGGGCTTGTTGAGCTGTAACACAGGTCTAGTTGCGAAGTATGAACTCCAAACTTTCATTAAGGTCACAAACATTCGTGCCCTTTGTATAATAAAGTCACATGTCGCATTACTATTGCCATAGTCTTGTAACACAAAATAATTATGTGAAATTCAAGATTATATCGCACACTGAGAATGATAACGTCACAATACAAAAAACTTAATATTTATATATGTAACGCCATCTTGGATTTGAGCGTACTAACATTATACTACAAAAACCCCCATGTATGTGGTGTATGTTGTTTTATAGAACTCTCTAGATGCCTTAATGACGTTTTGCTGTACAAGAGGAACGGGGCTCAGGATCTTAGAGGATGGGAAAAAATAGTCTGAGCTTAGGAGACAGCGCGAAACAGACATTTATTTGATAATGACAGAGATCGCTGAATTGTCAAACATGTTACTAGTAACTGCTTGAAGGCATTGTCATTTTTGGATAGTGTTGTTTAGTTTTAAGACTAATCTAGTACAGGATTGCTGAGCGATCTCAGATCAATATTATGGAAAACATTCACTAAAGTTATCTTTTAATTTTCGAAGTTTAAAATTAAAATACTGAATAATACTTATGGAATAGTAGATAAATATGCTCCTGAACTCTCATTTTGAATATAGCTAGCGATTTTCTTTCGAAAACAGTAATAGGAAGTGCGTTCCAAAATCTGACCGCATGAACAATGAAGGAGTGAGATTAGAAACTGGAATTAAAGATGGAAAAGATAACTGGGACCTAACGAGAAAGCGACAGGGCTTTATCCTGGGACCCGAGAAAGCTGAAACGCTCTTTCGGATAGGTACCCGGGAAGCACAGGGTTAGGTATGTAGAATATTGTAGAGAATGAAGACAATACGCAAATTCTTGCGGAGACGAATGGAAAGCCACTTGAGCTAACTGCGGTAGTGTAGATTCGGTCTTATTAACGAAGGCCAAAGATGAACCTTATACATAGGTGTTGTAACCGTTCAAGCTTGTTTAGCAGCTCATCAGTAACATGCAAATATGTAGTAGGAATCAGCATAGTCCGGCCATACACGGGCAGCTTGAAGCAGCTAGTATCGATTGCTTCTAGCTGCGACCACATAGCAAACTACAGTCTTTTATTTAGACACATACTCCAAACCGCTCGAACAGTTGCGACTGCGTTGCGGGCGGTTTGAAGCGCGGTGAAATTTCATCGTGCAGTCAAGCAGTCGCCAGATATACACTGACTGCTCGAAATGTCTCCTGCTCCCGCGCAATTACCTCCGCCCGCGCTCTTCATTCCACGTCACGCGCGCATTTTCGTAGCAGCAAATTCTACGCCGCCACCGTCGTCGTGTGAGCAAAGGAGCAGTAGTAGTGCTTCTTTCTCAAAATCCATGTTGCTACTGATTTGAATGAAATTGAAATTGTGACTTGTTGAGCAGTTGATACCAACTGCTACAATTGGTATCAACTATTCCAGCTTGTCAATGGCAGTCTCAAGCTGTTGACTATGACTGCAAGACTGGTCTGTGTATGTTGATCATTACCTAACTGCTCGAGCAGGCCGTGTATGGCCACCCGAGGGGTAAATTAAGAGATAGGGTTGTACACATTGCATTGGATTGTGCACCCAGAGCTATATTGGGTTGATATAAATCATTATTATTTTATAAGGTCACAAACCGTAATTTTGTTTAACAAAGTTATTATTTAGAAAGAACTTACTAGGTTTACATGCCCACACAAAAAATAACAAGCAAACCTTAAATTATACAGATCGGAAAGGAGTCCATTGTACACCCAGACAAAGAACTACTTTGTAAATTAAAAAAAAACATCGCTATGACTTTATAACAATAACATGGGCAATACCCATTTTCGTAAGTGGTACATACGGTCACATACTTAAGTATACAATTTTTCATTATTGCAAATTGAAATATTTGTCGACGATGTAAGGTTCAGTTTCCTATGAGCATTTTTGATGTTTTTGTGTTTGAATGTGACCCTTCGTTAATGTTTGTGTTTGCACGTAATGTTAAGCACACATTGCAAGAAATGGAAATTGACCGACTCATGCTACTGTGATTATTTTTAGACTTATTTTGTATTAACTAGACGATGACGTACGCTGTTTTATTTATGGCCTTGAACACGTTAATTACCCTGAACCTGATTTTTTTTAAATATACCTAACTGATGCTTTAGTTATAATATTATGGTCATTTATATTTCATAATATGAGAATGTGAATTTTTATTAATGCATTTATATTTTTACCACTGGCACACTACGTCTTCTCCGAACAGAGATGTTCAGTTCTCCTCTGCCTCAGAGGATGTCTGGAAAAGACCGCTTTCGGCAATAAGGCTGCCTTGGCCCACATTAATTCTAAGTTGTCTATGCACTGTTTTTGTTTTTCTTTTGTGTGTGAATAATAAAATGTATTATCTGTCTATTATTTCCTTTGTGGCGGCCACTATCACGGTAAAAACAGATTATTTAGAAAAACACAAAATTCTTTTTATGAAGATAAAATTTATTAAATCCAACAAAACGATTCCTCTCCCTGTAGACCCTAGAGAATAATTACTTAATAGTATTAGTTATTAGAAATGTCCGATTTTGACTTGAAAAAAAAGAATAAAAATTGAGAGGTACTTAATTATTGGACTGAAGATTTATGTTTTCTAATATCAAAAAGGGCACATTTACAGGGTTATGGACTCAACAATATGTCTCAGGTGGCGTGAAAGCACACAGTTCAGTGCCAAACCTTAAAGTAGTAGAGGTGGGTGATAAATAACGTCACGATAAAAAAATCACGACGGTCCGCCATCAAATAGTATCAACGTGACTCGTTCCGAAGGAACAACGTTCCCAAGTCACATAGGTGTTCCTCCGTTCCAATAGCTATCCCCGTCACTCACATCACGACATACGTATTTGATACAATGCGCAATCTTCGTTCCGTTGGGACTGAGCGCGCCACTCGTTGTATAGTTCTCTTCAAATCGGGCCATTCCGGCGATGGGAGTGAGTGAGATAGGATGACTTTCTTTGCTCACACACAAGAATCGTAGTTGCTTATTACGACTAGAAAGGGCGGATGAAAAAAATCTGCAGCAGTTTCTGTAAACCTATTTATTAACAAAGTAAAATATTTTTGTATATTTGTTATATTATAGGAAGAGTTGGTATTTTATATTTATGTGTTATCTTACTTTGTGTATTCTACTAGAAATATAATTACATTACACTTTATTGCTATTTTTAACAATCCAAAGATTTGCATTAAATAAGTAACACACAAAAGTACATTAAATACAAAATCAACTTTTTGAATGGAATTGAAACTTATTACAAAGGGAGTAAAAACTTAAAACATTCTATAAAAAACGGCTGTAAGTATTAGAAAGAAGCCGCTGGTTAAAACCGTATATCGTGATGTAAGTTATATATACGTGACGGACGTAACAGTGACAAAATCACAGTGATTTATCACCGTAATGTTTTTGGTACCGGAACGACAGTCACGGCGATAGAAATGTAACGCTATTGTCTATAAAGTAGCAGAAATAGGACTATAATATACTAGTGAAGTTAACTAAACGATAGCGCGTTTCAGAGTACAACTAATACCATCTAGCAGTGGCGTGATGGAACTAATTGCACGTTAAAGTTGTGCTTGTAATAACCTAATAGTACCATCATCGTCATTCGTTCGTAGAATCTTTAAGCCGCTCTCCTGAAAAGTTGTCATTTTGCAGATGTGGCATTGTTATACCAAGCGTGCTAAATGTTTATTTATTTATTAATTCATAATAACCAATGACCTACATGATAGTAACGATATCGTTGGATTTGCCCAATTCAACAATGTTAAATAGCTACAGAAACAATCTAAAAACCTACCTTACCTTCTCGAATTATTACAATGAGCATGCAAAAAAAATGGTATTTACCATTTTAAACACTTCACAACAAATAGCTAGATATTTATCTAGGTATTTGTTGTGAAATGTTTAAAAACTTCACAGGTAATTTATACGTCTATTATAAGAAAGCAATGTGTATTTACATAGGTACTGTCGATGCTCTAAGATAACTGACTCCCTAGCCGACCTTTTAGTTCTAAGAGCCTTCTTATGCATTCAACAGAAAAGGTGAAGGAATTCCAGTGTTTTTGTTGAAATTTGTATTTATATTATGTAATTAAAGATCCAGTTGGCTAAAAAGTTTCTTTAAACGTTATTCATTAATGATGCATTTGTAGGAAACAAAACTCTTTCTTGAGAATTTGTTTCGTAGGTTTATTAGCAACTACATGTTTTTTTTTACTTCTATAATAATAACGCACACACTCAATAAGAAAGTCATGAATTTTATGGCTGACTGATTAAATATTAAGTTTTAATAAAAATTTTTTTCACATTGATCTACTGATGACCAAATGTCGGCTAGGGGGTCAAGGATCTTAGAGTAATTCTACGTATTAATCTATTGTAATGTGGTTTTTTTCTGTTTATGAAAAGGCATAATTTTGGTCACGTACTATTATTTATATGGGTTCCATTCACGTACACCATTAACGTTTCATACACCTCCAATTTTTTTCGCTTATATGGAATTCTTGTAGATTGGAGTAGACCCCCAGGGGTCGATGTTGACCACTTTTGGGAACCATCGCTGTATAGAAATGCTATGAACTGTTTTTATAGCATTTCTGACAGGGGCAAACTTAAAATTTTTAAACGAGCTACTAGAACTCGAATTTGTACATATATATTATAGGCCTTATGTACTAATACAGCAATTGTAAAAAAAAATTGTACAACAATGATTCATAAACAATGTTGGTGGTCTATCTGTGAATGGCGTCGTATAAAATTGTTTACAGTTAATGTTATTATTATTGATTTAAATGAACTTTAATTTATTCATGTTACATAGTATCCCATTGCTTTCCTTAAATGATGAGCATCTCCTTATAAATGTTTAATGTCTTAGCTCTTATACCTCCTACAGAAGTGCAAACTGTTTAAAATTATTTAAGATCACTGATGCGAATGGAGAATTAAAAGATCTTTCGGTAACGGTATCGGCATATCGATGCCTTACTTTCTTAACGCGTATCTTATAAAGAATGATTATAATTATAAACTATATTATTATTATAAACTCATCAGATGGCAAAACTTTCTTTTTATATTTCTTATTGGGGGTGTTAATTTGGATACATTACTTTAAGAACAGGTAAAAGCTAGTGTGTAAATATGAAAGAAATGTTATATGAAATCAACCTGAAATATTTGAATATATAATACATTTTTTGCATTTCAGTAACTTAAAGCACTTTTAAGATACGAGTTCGAGAAAGTAAGGCGACGAGTATGTCATTCCGTAGTGTGTGGCAGTGCCTAACCTACTGATTATGAGACATGGAATGTAGAACCTGAAACATACCAAAACGCGGTATCATTTAGTCTTTCTTAAAGAATACGTAAACAAATTATAATGACAATGCATTTTCTTTCCAGACTCCATCTCCCTATCATCACCGGTAACGTGCGTGTCTCCACGCGAAGATGCCGAAGGTCCTCCTATGCCAGTCGCTGTCTCATCATTGCTGGAGGAACATAAGGGCCAGCTTATGGGCAGAACCAGCGCTAGTAGACCTCGGCGGCGTAGAGCAATGCTCATTTATGTATGCGCTGCTGATTCTCAGGGTAAGGACATTTCTGTATCTTTTGACTGGATTTTTTAATATACGACACGCATATATGCATTAAGAAGGAAGGAGGTACGATAAATGTGCAACTAAAAAACAGGAAGCGCACACTCTCCAAAATGGAGCCGATAGAAAACCGACAAGCTGGTCAGCGCTGGCGCTAGACCATGTAGTACCCGGCTGCATAAATCGATCCCGTGACGTCTTCGAGTAGGCACGCGGTCAAAATGGAATACTTACTTATATTTATAAAATATTTTCCCCAGTGATCGGAAATTCGAGTGGAATTATAAATGATGTTGGAAAGCAATAGCGCCGCGAGGGACGCAAGCGGAGGCATCGTAAACGGCGCTCGGGGCACCCCAAGACCCTGCGCCCGTGTGCGTCTCACACCCTGCGCTATTGATAAAGCCGGCACTAATTTGTAGCTTCGTCTCCTTATAAGAGTCGTTACTTATAAGTCTTTGCTTTCCGCTCCACTAAGACTACTAAGGCAGCTAGCTGGTATCAGGCGGGGTCGGTACCTCGGTGTCGGTGTCGTCGAGTTTTTGGCATGTTCAAGACTCGAGACTGATGTTTTCCCGAGACTTTTCAGTCTTAAGCCGGTTTTTTTACTACCATAATTAATCTGGTTACATGTGCATGACAATATTGTAGAGTGGAGCTTATTATAATCTGTGAAGATTGAAGAACTATAGTAATCAAATCAGGTTATCTCTACCTTAAATAACATTTACAGCCAATATTTAATGTAAATAATTTTCTTTATAATTTGAGTTAGTAAACGCCTAGCCTATAAGTATAGAAACCTAATTTTGAAACAATCTGGAAAGTCTCGTTTTTCCTGGTATTTTCGAGATCGCACCGATCTAAGTAGCAATAGAGCTCCTTGTGAAAGAGTTCATCGAGGGAAATACTGCCACCTTACGTATTTCTGCCGCCAAGCAGTAATGTGAGCACTGCTGCATTCCGGTTTGGAAGGGTCAGAGGCTGGTGAACTTACAGGCATATGGAAGACACATCAACTTATGTCTCAGGATGACGGACGTAGTCACCCTAAGATCTTTGAGATTTAAAGCTCTGAGTGACACTGCAACTGTTATGGACAGGCGTGTCGTTTACCACCAGACACACGACTTGTTCGACCCGTTACTTATATTATAAAAGTCTTGATATTTCTTCCCGAGACGCACAAATGCAGCGAGGCAGCAGTACTCCATACACGATCAATGTTTTATAGAGATTTAAAACCTGATCGGTAATACGCTGAACTAAAAATCATCAAAGCAAGTGTACGTGGCGGTGGCCCCCAAACGTTCCGAACCCAACTCTTCGATGCATAAATATAAACGTAACTTCCCCACCATTCCTTCGTTTTTTTGGACCCATGCCAACCAGGAAGTATTCCCAAGTATTTCAATACGGTATTTGTCTTGGTTTTCTTTATTAATCATCACACAAGATATGTTGGAAATGAATCTGAATTCCGGTTTCCAATATCTTAACTTACATTCGAGATTCGTATACGAAACCAAATATTGTCGTAAATCAAATATGTGGAATTGAAAAAACACGATTTGGAAATTTTAAAAACTGAATCAAACCAGTATACCTACATTATGGCTAATTAAATATTATTTAAATGATTTTCCATTAAGGCTCAACTCACACTGGCGCAGAGTCAAAACGTCGCGTCGCGTCGTGTCCTGTCTTTCAACTACAACGCTTGGCGACACGCGTCGCTGCGTGACGACGCTCGCATTAGTGCGCTCGGATCACAGTATGGTCTGACGTCTGACGCCTCACTGCGCTCAAGTGACGCGCGAAACCGCCCGACTGCATCCAAGCGTCGACGCGCGTCTTCGACCGTTCCATATTTGCATAACACAAATTTGTACCTTAATAATGGAAAAATAGAGATTAATATACTTTAGGCGAAAAACATGACGGGTCGCGACGCTTCGACTCTGCGCCAGTGTGAGTTGAGCCTAAGGGCGGGTAGATTTTGACAGTTGTTGAGGCCGTAACATGAGCAAATAATAAAAATTTATTATGAAAGTGGATGTTCTTTTGTGGCAACGATGCGGAAAACATTTTATAAACAAAGATCCATTCAGTATTTTTTTTTAAGTTTCATATGGTGAAATTCAAGGTGGGGAGATGCTCCGTTTCGCTAAAAATACAAAACGATGGATAGGTATATTGGTTGTATTGGTACACTAAAGCTGTGACATCACAAATAGATAATGCAGTTACTTTAAAAAGCCTAGTACTTTAAATAGCCCATCTAGAGATAGAATTACATAGGGCGCATTATAAGTTTCCGGAACTGGCCACTTACATAAACAATAGTTAAAAAGTAATTATAACACTTGAAAATGGAACTCTTTGGCTATAGAATACAGTTTGTTTCATCTAACTGTCACTTGTTTTTACATTGTGGCGTCATTTTAGAAATAGGTTGTCTACATCACCATGGATTTAACAAGTGAAAATTTTCATAGTATGATTTTCTACGACATTAAGTGTAATTTAACAGCTCAGCGGAGCTTCGCTCGGCTTCAAACTGCTTTTGGCGATCAAGCACCATGCATGACGACTATTTATAGCTGGTTTGCAGAATTCAAACGCGGTAGTGTGAATCTTAGTGACGAATTTCGTGATGGTCGCCCGTCCACTGCTGTGAACAATAAAAACAGACAGACATGTGACATACCATGAGATTCGAGCATCTGTAGGCATAGGCATGAGTCAAATGCAATCAATACTACACAAACATTTGGGTGTGAAACGGCTGTGCTCTCGATGGATCCCACACAATTTGACTGAGGCTCAAAAAACGGATCGCGTCACGTGGTGCGATGCCATTCTTACCAGATTCAACGAAGGGGCGTCAATAGTGCGGGGCTATGTTGAGCGTGTGCGTTATTATTATTATATGAATAAAATGTGTTCCCCGCGGGAAGGTGCCCAAGATGCTAGCAGTGTTCCTTTGTATGGCTAAACTAATGCGTTGGGCAAGGTAGCTGACGGCTCTTGGGTTTCCCAGACAGTCTATTATTTTTTGGATTAAATTTTGTACAGTTGAAGGGCACCAGGACCCCATGGGCCAAGGGTTTCAACTCCAAAGGCTGTAAATAGGTAGTCGGAGCCGAAGTCTTTGTTAAAATGTTTGTTAATTACAATGAAACATCGATTGATCGATTTCTTTATCTTATTTCCAGACTGCTGTAGCGAGAAAGGCGCGCTACAATGCGGCGTGGCGGCAAAGCTGCGCGCGCGCGCCCGTCGTGCTGGTTGGCGTGTGCACGTCGCCGACCTGCATTGGCGGTCGCCCCTAGAGCAACAGCGGGACCATAGATTCCCCGTCCTCTGCCTGACGGAGTTAGCTCGTAAGTTCTCTCTCTTAGCTGTAGCAACGTCATGGCGAATAATTAACAGCGCTCCATAATACGTAGCATTTGCCGATGAAGTTCTAAAATATCTAAATCATAGGTTCCCAAACTTTTTTATTTCGTAAGCCACGTGCCAATTTTTTCTGTTTTGCCTTGACCTCCCGACCTTTCCAATATAGATTTTATTACAAATTCTTTACATTTAAATGTGTTTTTGACAGTTGCCACATTGCTAATCACTTTGATAAGTTGAACTTAAGGTTGAACTATAGTGTGAAAAGTAGGCATAAACTTGAAAAAACAAAAAAGTTACGTTTTATACATCATATATTATAACCGAATATATCTCCAGATCTTGTGTATTATATAAGTACATTAGCACTGTCTGTGTAACGTAGATTATTCCATTTATGGAAAATCAACGTTTTAGTTTTGAGTCTATATCGACCCCGGGGTCGATGTAAACCACTTTTAGAATCATCGACCTAAATAAACTTGTTTCAGGTCAGTCGGAGTTGGGTGCAGTAGTGCCATTGGTGTTCCTTAACTCGGGGTTAGGCACACCGCTGCTGCCACACACGCTGGAGTGCGCAGACTTCGAGGCGGCGCTCGAAGCCGCATCGCCCGAAACAGATCGCACACTGCTTAACAAGTGGTTAGTACCTGGTGTCCTGATAAACAAAGCGGTTTATTTAGGATGTTCCACAAAATGTATTGACATTAAAGTGCCTCTACACTTAGGGACATCACAGCACGCAATGGCAACAATATACCACGACCAAAGCGTACACCAGCCCGTTACACCATGATATAAGCAATGTTATCCGCGTAATGGAGATTTATTCTGTCATAACTAACGTACTTAATCGACATTTTCAGTGACATTGAGCGAAACGAGATCTACAGTCCTCTATATAAGCGCTTTTTCTTATTTCTTATTTATTTTCAGTTTTATTGTTAAGCAAAATCCGCGCAACTCACATTTTTTTAAAGAAAAAAACTTTAAGTGCCTATATCTCGCTACCAAAATACAAATGCGTTAGTTATGACTGCTGTTAGATAATTTTCCAAAACAAGTTTTTTTTATGATACTAAGTGACGGGACGAACAAGTGGTGCGCCTGCTGATGAACGACACTCCTGTCCAGCAGCGGCAGTGGCACTCAGTTTTAAATTGCAAAGATCTGACGGGCACTACCACTGCGCTCGCCACCCTGACACATGAGTTGCCATAAGTTGACAGGTTTCATGTGCCTATAGTTTTACAAGAAAAAAATCTGAACAATTGGAAAAATATAATTGGAAGGTTCATATTATGTTCTACGTTTAGACATAAATTTTTTGAAATTTTATTTAGCTTGAATTATAAAATAAAATTGTATAGCTAAAAGTAAGTTAGAATAAAACAAGATTTGAAATGATTGGATAACGGCCATCTATTAGGTAAAAAAATCTTTACAATGGCTCCATGAACTATGATGGCTCCAATCGCTTTTGTTCCGTATCTCCAACTTTTGACAGGTGTCAACTGTCAAATGTGGTAAAATATGGAACAAATATATTACGTGAAAAATATTCGGAAAAATATTATTTTATGAAAAATATGCATTTTTCGAAATGGAAATTTTCCATAACTCAACATTAGTTAAGAGTTAGGGTGAGAAAAGGCGAGCGTAATTTTGTGAGTTGTGGTTTGCGTTTTTTGAGTCTCGTAGTTTACGTCATGTTTGTGTCATTTTTGTCAGAGACAACTGCGGCAATGATTATAGAAAGTTGGAAAAGTAAGGCTTATTTATTGTGCATTATGTTATAGTATCTCTCTTTTTAACCTTTGACGTAAAAAGAGGGGCGGACGTTGCGAGTATAAGTATAGTACATTATTGCAGAGGCCAGAAAGTAAGAGATTGCTGGACGAGTATGAGTACAAGTCAAGCAATCCCCATTCCCGCCGAGGCATAACAAAAGACTAAAGAGAGGAAAATGTGTAATAGACAAAGTATAAAAATATGAATTACAATTTATACAACACAATTGCTAAAAGAAAATGTTATTGTTTTTCCAGGCACATTAATAGTAGTCTGCTCAACTTCTGATGATGTGTTTGAATGTGTTTTCGTTATCGCTCTTTTCACTAGCACTCATTTTCGCGACCAACATACAAAGAAAACGAAAAAACAAAAGAATACCAAAACGCTTTAGTTTAAATGTTACCGCCATTTTCTCGCAGTTGATTACATGAGTTTTTCTTTTGCCTGTTTACATAGTTAATTCTTACACATATCATAAACCCTCCATGAGGTGTTAAAAATCCGCAAATTACGGCCAGCATAAAGATAAACTGTTTTGTTAGAACAAATTTCTTATCTGTGAAAATGTTATTATTGCATAATATTAAGATTCGCTCTAGGCCTTTTGGAGGGAAAAGTGTCGTTTTTATTTTGACTTTCAATTATTTTGTGAAATCTAGTTTATAGTGGAATAGGATAGTGCTATTGTTCCTTAATCGAAGATTAAAAGCAAAATTATACGAATCTCGAAAATACCCGGATCGGCCTATTCTAAGGAATCCCGAGTCAATCCAAGCAAGGCGCCTCACATTGCCTACCCTCTTTGTGGCGGCCATATTTACATACAGAAACATAATTAAACGAAGACATTGCTCAAAAGACTTGTATCCAAGCCAAAATTATTAATAATAATGCGTAATATATATATTACCAGCAAATTCGATTTTATTAATACATTGAAATTTCGAACATCTCTGAAAAACAAAACAATTTTATTCGACCTTAATTCTAATTTCAGTCGAGATGAAGTTTTATTCGAAATTATATATCAATAGCAAGTCAATTTTGACAAATTTCACACGTTACTGAGGGTCGTATTCCAGAACTCTACTCAATGCTCAAGTCAGGATTTGAGTATGGTTTAAAGCACTCGAAATCATACTCAAGTCCCTGCCATTAGGGTCGTAGTTTCAGTGCTTGAAATCATACTAAAATCCTGATTTGAGCATTGAGTAGAGTTCTGGAATACGACCTTAAATATTGAACGATGTGATAGTTGGGGTCTTCTCTAGTTTGTGTATGAATTTAAAAAAACCACCGTTGTGTGCACAGACTATTAGATGTTGTGTGACATGGGCTTAGACTATGGAAACCAATTTTTTCCAGTCTGGACATGGGTGAGAAAAGTTTATATTTGCCGCCATTTCGCCAGTCGTAACACGAGGTTCCTGAAGACATCATAGAGAGCTTATAATATTATGTGTATAGATGGAGCAGTGCATGTAACTGTACACAATTAGGCATTAAAACACTCGTGTGATGTTTTCATGTAACAGTCACATAAACTACTATTAGAGAAGTGGACTATAATGGATTTTCCTACTTACTTCGCAGGCGTTGGCCGGGAAGAAGTCGCAAAGTCCTTAAATGACAAACTTTCCGTCGTTTTTTGAAAGTAATGCAAACCTTTCCGAACATGTTTGAGAAAAAGTCTTTGTCTGTGTATCTATCTACTGTATGTTTATAGGGAGACATTACAATTATAAATAAATGACCTTGATCTTATGCTGCAACCAGGACAGTTAGCAGACTGCCCAACTCCTGAGCTATTTACAGTAAAACTTATTTTTTATGCGACTTTAAAAAAGGAGGAGGTTCTCAATTCGACCAATTTTTTTTTTGTTTATGTTACGCAATTACTCAAGCATTTGTGAACCGATTTTGAAGATTCTTCTTTTTTATAGAAAGAGTATTTATTGGTCCCATTCAAACTTAAAGAAAATAATATTCCACCGGTAAGAGTGGTGGATAAAACTTGGAAAATATACATCTATATTCCACGGTTTTTGTTTTTTTATAAAAAAAGTTATAATTATAATGATATAATGTTAATAATGTGCTAGACAACCACACCAATTGGTCTCAAACTAAGGAATACCCTATAGTACCAGAGCAACGGAATACATTCCGGGGCACTTCCCAGAACACCCAGAAAAGTTCATTTCCTACTTCGGGACCTCTCCATCCGGTTCTCACAGTGCAAACCGTTGAGCCACCAAGGTCGTTAAACTATCATGTTTAAGCTCTTTAGTTGGCCTCGGCGAGTTGTTAGTTTACGAAATTTTAATCTAATATATTATTATTCTTAAATTGTTTTCTTTATTAACCCTTTTTCGACTAACAGGTACAGCCTGGATTCAAGCGTAACACCACCGTGCTACCGATTGGTTCGCGGCGCGCCTGCTCGCTGGCGTCGCGAGATGGCCAAAGCACTTAATGTGCTCGTGCGCACATTGCCGCTTGAAGCTTTGGACGCTTATCTTACCACTGTCGTCGAACAGGTATGCCGTCGTCCTTTGACCGCCGCAGGAGAATCGCTTCCCGTTGTTTATATGATGCAATCAAAGGACACAGTTGTCATAATTTAAACTGCCTCTGTGTACGAATGGTTACAATGCTAGTCTGGCACGCAGAGTTCGAGGACTTGGGAGGTTCGATTCCCAGGCCGGGAGAAATATTTGTATGGCCGACATTTATTTCTTTCGTAAGTTTGGGTGTACTTTATGTTTGTCTATGTGTTTTTTTATAATATCAAATGACGGCACGAACAAGTCGTGCGCCTGGTGGTAAGCTACAAGCCTGTCCGTAACAGTTGTAGTGCTACTCAGAGCTTTAAGTCGCAAAGATCTAAGGGACACTCCCAATGCGCCCGTCACCCTGAGACATATGTTGACAAGTTCCATGTGCTTGTAATTTCACCAGCACCCTTATCATGTGTGCCTATGGGTTACCCTACAAGAAAAGAAAAACAGAAAAAAAAATAACGACCTCCGCGGGCAAGTGGCTTGCGCACCGGTTTTTGTAGGTCGCCATCTCTGAGGTCTCGGGTCCCATCCCCGGCCGGGTCAATGTAGAAAACCTTAACTTTTCTATATTGTGTCAAAAAATAAAATAAATAATACTACATCCAGTATATACCTATACTATCTGTGAATCAATCGAATGGCCGATATCTGCCTTTGAAAATATGGTCTTAAAAATTCCTCTCTTTCTTTTTTTTACTTCGGGACTTAATCATATATAAGTAAAACATTTTTTAATTCCGACGTATTGCACCGTCAATGGTCTCTATGGGAGTCGAGATAATTAAAATATGTTTTATACATGATTAAGTCCCGAACTAAAAATCGAATAATGTGCGAAAAGTTTAAATAAAAGTATTCATGTCAATCATTAATACAAAGATGGAACATGAAGAAAAATTCCTTCGATCTCACAGGACTCGAACCTATTTCTGGTTTTGCCAATCTAGGGCAACCGCTCTACCAACTGAGCTACATATCTGTTGATCTGATGAGCAGTTCTTACCCGTTTGTCTATGCGTGCGTTACAGATTTTTGTTTTTGGTTTTAACGCCTTTTTTGGCGTAGCGCCATCTGGAGAAATGTATGAAAGTTTTTCTTCGCTCAACCAGGTACCATTACAGCTACCAGAGGTTGACAAGAAATGTCGATGATGATGTTAATGATTCTTTGTGTTCGATCTTTGTGTTAATTATAACTGTAGTGTATGCGACTTGACATACGTACACTCTGTCTCGTGTGTCCATGCGTGGGTATTCTCATTCGGTATCACGAGAGCCTTTAGCGAGAGTGGACGGAGAGTTACGTCATGTAAGACAGTGCCGAGCCAGTGTTCTCAGGAAAGGAAGCAAACGTAACAATAACAAAGTAGTGGAAAAGTTTCAATAACATAAACGAATATTAATATGGAAACGAGTATTAAAACTTCGTAATATTCATTACCTACAATAAATACTTTTTCATTCTTCTACTTACCACATAGCTGGCACAAAACGTAACCGCTCTGACCGCGTTACTATTACCCGCCGTTGAGTTCTCAAGCTTGCAAGTGTTGGTTCACGATGTTAGCGGAACCATCGTAATAATCGCAAAGCTCAAACAATCCAAAAATCCCCACATAAACAAACTGTTCCTGCTCCGGCCGCTAACCTGAGTCCTAAGACTAATATAAACAGAGAAAACTGACGTAACCCAACTTTACTATATAGGAGGTGCAACACACAGTACTTCTCAGCGTCGAAGCGGCGCGGCGATGCGTGTGGGTATCACGAGCAGGTGCCCCCCCACCAGAGCCCCCCGATGTGCTTGACTCCGCACATCATCAAGAATTGCAGCGAAGGTTGAATACCTTACAAAAAGATTTAAGGGTAAGTATATTTTTGTTTCTTGACATAAACGAATCTAAGTCGCTTACAAATTACCAAATAGAACAGGCAATATTATGTATTTACTCACTGGCCTTAAGATGGGAATATTTCACAAGGGTGAAAGAGTTCGTTCGAGCTTACTTAATACATTTTTAGTTAAACAATTTGTTCCTCGCAGCTCCACCTTTGCGAACGCAACATAATCCGAGCGAGCATACGAGGACGGACAGGGACCGCTTCTGCGCCATGCAGCGACGACGAATATGCGGAGACCCTTAGAGTCGCCATGAGCGACCGACTGGACGCCATCTTGGATACTTTAGTCGCAGAGAGCGAAGTCCCAGCGGGATATAACGGAATCCCTTCTAGGTACAGTGGGCAAAATAATTAATCATTTATTGATTCATTCTTAGGTTCTAAAACTGTGTTTTCAGATGTAAATCGCGTATATTTGTTTTTTCAAACAAACCAACCTTTCGGGCCCTTTACAGGTCCCATGGTCACGGTTGTGCTGAGGTGGTAAAATGTTCAACCAGTTATGTCTAATATTAATATAAATCACCCCTTTTTTGTTTTTTTTTTAATGTGGTTTGTTAGAAAATAAAATATACCAATAATAATTTCATTTCCTATGTGTAACAATCGCGAAAACTTAAGACGTGGTGTCTATTTGTTTTTTTCGAACAAACGGCTGACGCGGTAGTGGGTAAAAACGTTTGTTTGAAATTTTTGTTGTTATTATTTCGAAGTTTTACATATTATTTTACACAATGTTACTTAGTTATACAATAAGTCAGTATAAGTACAAAAAAGGATGGCGAAAGCTGACCCAAAATCAACGAAGAGCCGTTCATGGACTTAAATAGTATTGATAGGTTTCTTTAATGCACGTCGTCAAAAACACTGGGTCACAAAATACACGGAATGTCGCCATCCTTCTTTAGTGCTAATAAATGTTTGAACCCATGTTAATACTAAAATATTTTCTTTTTTTTGAAAACTGACTTAAATGTAATGAAATGAAATGAAAATGAAATGAAATGAAATGAAATGAAATGAAATGAAATGAAATGAA